CCCTACAACCTACCCCCAGACTCCATGAGAACATACACCAATACAGTCTCTGCAAACTGAGTCCAGTTTCTAATTACTATATTTTTATCTTTAGAGCATTCAGTCATGCAAAGATGCACATGAGTAGCTTTCCTACCATATAAAAAATATTATAAAATCTAAACAATAGTTTCAAATACCTTTACTGGGCTCTTAACTCATGGCACAATTAAATTAGGATTTCGAAGTATTAGGAGAATGCTGCAAGGGGGTTATATAAAAGCCCTTTAAACTACTTGAACACTTGAAAATTTTCAAGAAATTAAGATGGCACTTATGCATTTAGAACTTATAACACTTAAGAATACCAATAAAAGCCTACCTTTGTAGCAACTCTATAAGTAATGAAAGTCTCAATGGCAGTAACATGGCTTTCAGGATCATCAACTGTAATGAAGAGGTCTCTTAATCCTGGCTCATCTTCAAACTTGTAATGGTTTATCATAGATAAGGGGGATGTTGGTATCAAAGGACTGAATGGATTTGCCTCAGCCAATGATGCACCCTACAGAAAAGACATTTGAAGTTATTTCCATTTATATATAAAGATACAAGTCTTTGGCATCAAAATAAATAAATAAATAGCTCTGAAACAAACAGCTATGATGGTAAAACAAACAGCAAGTAAAAATGCTAAAATTTGCTAGCAGGCAAATAAATCTATTATGCTTTTCAGAATTCACGTCAACAAGCAGATATGAAAGAAGAATGTAACTTATTTTATGACTGACAACAGAAGATCATTTGACAACAGTGTTATGAATAGCTAGAATGAAAACTTGCCTACAATGCAAGAATTAGTTGTCAATCCAAACACCAGGTAACTGTATAGGATACTTATCCAGCTCATTAAATTTGTTAGAGGCCAATTACCCAGGACTGAAGAAGACTGAATTATCTTTAGCAGCTTGACCAAGGTGCATAAAAATTGATGAGTTTTTTAAAGTTTGTTTTAATATAAATGGGATGTTATATTTAATTCAAATACATTATTTTCTTTTTAAGTATATTTAAAATTTGTAATTTAGAATTTGAAACTGAATTCAATTCATTTTAAATCTCCAGCATTTTACAAACTTATTTTCTTATGTGTCCAGATCATTTGAGGCAGTTTTATCTGACTAATAAAAACATCATTTTGAATTGTTTATGCTTTTTTAACATTTGACTTTCAATTTCCATCCAAATGAGACTTAACAAAAATAATGACAAAAATAAGGATTAAGAACAGATGACCAACTGGCAGCTTGAGTGTCACAAGTGGCATGGGCAGCTTCTGGGTGTGGCACATGGCAGATATGGGAGGAGACAGGCTGCACAGCAACATATAGGGCAGGAAATAGAAAGCGAAGCAGCAAATTTCTGAGAGAGCACAGGGAAGGAAGCAGAAAGCAAAGCTGCAGATCAGGCAGGGGAAAGTGGCACTTGAGGAAGCTGTGGGGCTAATTTGTGGCACACCTGCCCAAAAGGCTGGCCACTACTGATCAAGAACAAAAGGCATGATTCAGTTTTATGACATAATTAAAATGTAACATTCAAGAACCATGTTAAATAACTACTTACATAAATATGTATAGACATATTTTATTTTCTTGGTTAGTAAAAAGGGTATCAAATTTAGTATAGGGATATACTGAGTTGTAAATCATCAGACTTTAATAGCTGCTAGTCAAAAAGGTCTTTTTTCTAAATAAAGGTTTAAAACATACAGATGCAAATAAAATGAAAAATCATGATGAAAATCAGAGAATTAAAATTTACTCAATCTAAATCAATCCATCAAACTGATCAATATAGCAACAACAAACGATCTGGACTGCTTCCCGTAATCATTCATTTGAAGATATTTTATTTATTGTTCATAATATTATTTAAATAATTTTAGGCTTGGTTATTAATCAGAGAATCCTTGAGGTTTAAAATATCAGCAATATAAGAATTTTTTGTTTTTGTTTTTTTTTTTTTTACTCAGTTGTACTAAGGTACACATTTTATAACTACATGTGCTGCTATCACTGAAAAACAGGCCTTCCTGGACTGAAAATGAGAGCTGTTAAAAACCAGTGCCTAACAATGCAGTTTGGGACTGCTGTGCTTTCTCTCATGTGTGTGTACAACATCTCCATTTTTAGTTAAAACTGTATTATGCAGAAAGAATTAGGTAGAATGCAATGCTAATATTTCTGCTCTTGGGAGAAAAGAGTTCGGTACATGTTTAAGAGGTTACAGACTGTTAGTTTGCACCTCAGATTAAAATTCCATTGAAAGAGAGTGCCTCCAACCACAAAATAACCTTCAATACAATACTGGTACATCATTCCAGTTATGTTTCAGAAAAAGAAGCACAATCTAATAAATAATCAGAGCTTATTCCTCCTATCAAGGTATAAGCCACATATGAAAGACAATGTTTATTGGAAAATATCAAGCAAGATTGATGCAACAAGCATTGTGGTGGATATTCAAACATCATTTTAAAGTGGATGAGGCTTTTACAGCAGAGAAAAAAGGCACTGTCTAGTCCATAATCTTTGAAGTTAAATATATATTCAGCAACTTCCTGCAAGAAAGGAAGATGCATATACATTTAAATAACTTCAGCAGTAAAGTCAAGAAGGGTTTTCACATTTACCGTTTCAATTTGCTTTATCACCATCAGTGGGAAAAACGGATTTAACACACTGGCTAAATCAGAGATGGTAGCTCCAATGGGATGAAAAAAGTTTAAGATTACCCTCATTTTAGTTTTACAGGCATGTTTGAAGACAGAATAGACACATTCTGTTTGAAGCTGCATATATAAAACTGAACAAGTTAGCACATCAAGAGCTCATAAGGACAACTTTACAGAGCTGGATTCTTCTTGCCCGTCCATTTTCAGGCAGCTAGTGGCATTCTCTTAGAAATTCCAGCACAAACCATTAATTTGTTCTTGCTTACTAGCTGTCAGCTCAACCCAAATCAGAGATCACACTTTCTTTTGAGGAACCTCTCATTTTCAAGACTTGAAACGTCTTTTACTTTGTGTTACAGAATAGTATGTCTCTGTATCAAACTGTGATTTCCAACTCATGTTGTAACTCCCAGGTTGACAAATGTGATCTACATTACATAACTGCAGATGCTTAGAGATATTAAAGATAGACCTAAAGCACGCTGTTGCACACAGCTGCAACTGGCTTCGAATCAAGGGAGTTTACCACTAGAGCAACTGGTTTCCTCCAGTGACAAGCCAAACTAGAAGGAACTATTGTTCCCAGTGTGCTGTGAGTGGACTATCCAGATGATTACCTTCTGGTGGTCTGCAGCTGATTAGCTGGTCACCTGACAGGAAGGGGAAGGAATCTTATATAAGAATAGCATTTGTGCTCAACTCTCTCTCTAACTTATTCACATCTGCCAAGCAGAAGAATTGCATAAGGTAAGGTACCCATGTACCTACTCTGAGTGACCTAGGACACCCAAGACCAGGTGAGCATTAACTTAGGGAAATGGGTATGAAAAACAACACAAGCCTACAAATCTGTAAAAGTTATCTGGTTTAAGGGTAAATATAACTGTTGTTAAGTAACTCCTGTGCAAACTCTGTTTTCCTTGTTTTAAGGCTATGTGTTCTGAAAGGGTTAAACCACAAACCGGAACGATGGAATTCTAGGGAAGCTTGATTATGTGACCGGGGAGATATGGGCGGTCTTAGCACTTGTTCAGGGGCTCTGGTGGCTAGACTGGGAGTCTTACAACACAAAGAAAGAGGCCATACAGAGAGTATACCTAAAAGCACTCATGCACATGTAGACGTGCCTACTGATAACCTACTGGGGAACCTAGCTCACCCTAAGTTAACACCAGCACATAAATCCAGTTTGAGCTACCTGCCATTACTACAATACCATGAAATACTCCTTTAATTAGACTTAACAGTCTAAAATGCGAGAGAATGAGTAAATAATTGTTACTGTTCACAACTATTTTTCCTTCATGTAGTCAATATTCTCATTCTAGACTCCCTTTTTAAGCTACTTTTCTTTCTATGCCATTTCAAAAAACTATATGAAATGTCAAAGATGTGTTCATCCAACAGATCTACAGAATTACCAGTTTCAAGTACATACTGCCTTCTACATAGGGTACTTAACCCTAAAAAGCTAACATAATTGCCCTCAATATGATCCACTAATTAACAAAAGGTGAGGGTGGGTGTGTCTAAGGTGAGATTTGATGGGAATGGCTAAAATAACAGTAACCAATATATTAGCCATGCTACAATTCCCTTCAGTGTTCCAAGGGTGGTGTTGTGGGAATAGAAGGAAATGTGAAGTCAAATCTGCCTTTGACTTCAACAGGATCACAACTTAATTTGGAGTTTCTTTCCTCATCTCATTCTTCCCCGACCCAAACCTCGTTGCCATCTCTCTCCTCTGGAGGTTGCGGCACTTCTTCCCAAATATAAACATGAAATATGTACTTAAGATGACCTTAACCTTTTGTCCCCCTTCTATCTCTTTTTGAAAAGAACTACACATAAAATGCAAGGAATATTAAGCTCATTAGCTGTTTAAGACTTTAATAACTAGTACTGTATAGGAGCTTTACTATCAGTCATTTGATTAATTTTACCTGATTCCTTCCTATACACACTTAGTTCATTGAGTATAGGGTATATTCTAGAATCTAGTCAGTTGGCTTGAGGTGTGGGGAAATAAATTAAAGTCATGCTTTCTTAGAAGCATAAAGCCAGTTTGTCCACGTACAGGCAGAATGAGAACTATTTTCAAAATAAGCCAGACTAGACAGCAACACATAAAAGGGCATGTACTTAGGAGAGCTGACACAACTCAGGCCTTCAGGGGATGGAAAATGTACATCAGCACCGAAAGGATTTGAATAACCATATAGTTGAGGGACGTTCAATTTTTAGACTGAAAATTTAAACTATCCAGCTGTGCTTTGGTTGGCAAGTCACACTGTGATTACTCAGCTTGCTTATAAAAGCATAGAGCCAGAAGACTTCAGAAACCTAGAAGGATTTGTGCATTAAGGCACATTGCCTTCTCTTCATTCTTTTTATAATCAAAGTAATCCATAACTGTAGAATATGCAGTATGCTGTTCATTGTTGGATAGTTTTAATAATATTTAAAGGAAAGCAAATGAGCATTGGGTTTTCCCAACCTGTTCAAAATCTTGTCATTGTATTCAAACTTCAGAGTTTACTACTTTGAAGTTTCTCTTGAAATTCAAGTGGTGTGATAATCCAAATACTAAAACATGAGATTATTGGCCAGATGGCAGAAGTGCTTACAACAAAAGGTGAAGTCAAAGTAGGCTATCTGAAGCAGAAAGTTGGCCTGATGCTACCTGCAGATGCTAAGGAAGAGAGAGAAGCCCCCAAACAGCAGTCTTCCCCAGAATAAACTCCTGAATCTAGTGCATTGAGAAATGTACTGTACTGCTGACTGAACAGTGGTTCTACCAAAAAGAGCTGCTGGCTACCAGTTACTACTCA